TATATATATATATATATACTACTCACTACTTGTTCTACTATTCCTACTTCGCGGTTTTTCACTTTTTGCGGGCTTCAGGGTACGGATCCCCCACGATAAACGAGGGACTACTGTAGTGTTTTTTCGTATTTTAACAGACAGTTGATGACTGATTCACAGAACTAATTGTTTGTCATTTTGATTTTTAAATTGTTTGTTTGTTTTATATTTGATCTTCAGTACAGAATTAGAGATGCACAGATTCAATTTTTTGGACAGATTCATCCATCCATCCATCCATCCATCCATCCATCCATCCATCCATCCATCGCTCTCTTTCTTTCTGCTCTTTTCTTTCTGTTTATTTTTGGTCATTGAACGCACCACAGCTAAGTAACTCTTGCAGCAGCACAAGTTTTTACTGAGTGAAGGAGGTTTGGTTGTAGTCACCAGCTGATTGTTCGGTGCATCCCTACACATCACGTCATTAAAAATACACGCATGGTTTGAGTTTGTGCAAAACGTTTGCAGTGATTCACAATTTTCAACATCCGTACGGTTTGTATAAAAGTTGAATATTGTAAGCCACGACTCAGGAGGCTTGTTAGTAAAAAGTCTGACCCTCTTTGTTCTTTTTCTGCCTTTTCTCCTGGGTTTTGTTCCTCCAGGCTTTTTACGCTTCTTCTGACTTGTTTAGTCTGAACGGTCTGTCCGCCTCCAGAACCCAGGGCTCAGCTTTCAATGGCTACCAGGTCCGTAGTACACAGATTGATACCAACAACCAGACACACAGAAACCTGATGGAGTTAGAAACCGTCAGGCCTCAGGGGCAGGTCAGGAGAAGCTTAGGGTGATCGTTCTATTTCTCTCACAAACATGCTCCTCTCTTGTAGCTCCGCAGCACTCGGACCTTCCAGCAGCTCTGTCCGAGGGTTGGTTCTGTTCATTTCCAGATAATTTTACCCCAATCTTACCCATTTCACCAGTGACACTTGCAACGGGTCACACATGTCACACCTGTTCCAATTGTCCCACATGTCACACCTGTCCCACAGGCCACCCCGTCCCACCTGTCCCACCTGCATGAGCAACTAAACAATGTCCCCATTAAATGATTTATTGTTCACTCAGCACAGATTTTACCGTATGTTTGAGTCAGGATGTGTCACCAGTGAGCAGAGAGCCACTCACTAGGATCTGTTTGATTAAACCTCTGTGAACGTATGGACGTGTGAACATGAACATATTAATATGAACTTGCTAATGTAAACGTGTTAATGTAAACTTCTTGAAGTGAACGAGTTGATATGACCGTGTTAATGTGAGTTAACGTGAACGCGCTAATGTAAACGTGTTAATATAAACATGTTAACGTAAGCGTGGTAACATGAATGTGTTAATGTGAATATGTTAATGTAAACGTGTTAATATAAACATGTTAACGTAAGCGTGGTAACATGAATGTGTTAATGTGAATATGTTAATGTAAACGTGTTAATGTAAATGCTTTAAGTGAACATATTAACGTTAACATGCTAATATAATAAACTTGCTAATGTAAACATGTTGATGTAAACAAGTTACGTGGACGTATTAACGTGAAGGTGCTAATGTAAATGTGCTAACGTAAGCATGTTAACATTAATGTGTTAACGTGAACATGCTAATGTAAACATGTTGATATAAAAATTTTAAGTGAATGCATTAATGTAAATGTGCTAATATAAACGTGCTAATGTAAACATGTTAATGTAACCATTTAATGTGAACGTATTAACGTGAAAGTGCCAATATAAACGTGCTAATTTAAACATGCCAATGTAAACGTGTTAACATAAGCATAGTAACATGAATGTGTTGACATGAACGTGTTAATGTAAACATTTTCATGTAACCATTTAAAGTCAACGTGCTAATTTAAACGTGCTAAAATAAACGTCCTAATATAAA